ATAAAGTGAATTAGGTATTTTTGGAGTTACCAAGTTAAGATAGATAATGGAATATTTTTTCTGAATTTTTCAAATGCAACTGGACTAGATATTGTTGATGTATTTATTGCTTGTATATATGTATATAGTTATTGTACTTATTGTATAAATTTTTCTTAGTTATAACTTTTTTATTTTTTATTAGACAAAAAAGGGGAAATATGGTGATATTTTGTGTGGATACATCCTAACATTTTATTTGTGCTTTAATAAATAAAGCTTGCCTGGAGAGCAGAGGAAAAAGCCAGCCATTATAAGTAAACACAGAAATCAGGCAATGGTAGCACATACCTTTAATACTATCACTTGGGAGGCAGGGATCTGTCTGGATGCCTATGAGTTCAAGGACACTCTAGAGGACAGAGCCAAGCATTGTGACACACACCTTCAATCCCAGACCAACCATAGAGTTCTAGAACTGTGTACAGACAGGCAGGAAGTGACAGAGCTGGGCAGGAAGAGGAAGTAATATAGCTGGACTGAGAGAGCCAATGAGAGAACAGAACAGAAATGTATATAGGCATGAGTAGACAGGAAGAAGCTCTCTTTGGAAGCTGCAAAGTTGGCGAGGTGAGGTTGGTTGGTGGCTTGTGCCATTCCTCTGATCTCTCTCTGGCTTTAACCCCAAATTCTGGCTCTGTATTTTTTCTTTAATAAGAGCATTTAGAAATTCATCAACAGCAATCCAATTGACAGCTAATAATAATCATAAAGCCAGTTCTTAGGATTCAAAGCTGTATTCTTGTTACTCTGGTTACTGCATGCTTATTAGAAAACAACTTTATACAGGAAATGAAAGTAAAAGATTTTTTAGAAGAGAATACTAGCCATTAGAAACTGTGACTAGGGATATTTATACCACAAAAATAAATCTTTTGTAGTCTTTGGTATGTTCCGATTATAAAATATTTGTATTAAGACTCATGATATCCTTAAATAGAAATTTGAGAAATTCAGAGAGTTTTGATGGTCAGGTTCATCTAACATTTATACATACAAAAAGAGATCAATTTGCTAAGTTGTTCTTCCTATATCAATTCCATAATTGTGTCTT